GGCGCAGACAGCCAGACATGCATGTACAGACACGCAGGTGCTGGCTGCCTATGACTGCCGCGCGAGCGACGACGCGATGCCGTTATCAACGGTGGCCCACAAGGATAAGGTCTGACCTAAAGAATTCTAGAAGTACTAGCTAAGGACACTGTGGAGCAGTCCTCTAAATACCTAACGCGCGACCCGTTTTTCATTATGAAACAAAGACTCTGATCACTTCACGTTCTTAAATCAACGCTAATGGAAGTGCAGAGTGTGGTTCTATCAAGCACGTACTTTCGGAAGGAGTAGGATCTGGGTTCATATCCCGACTGACGCAAGTGTTTTTGTACACCACTCTACATCATCTCTGGGTCTATAGTGACACCGCAAGGCGGTCAAATAGAATCAATTCAAATGAATAGCTTAGTAATGCGAAGATGTACACTTAAGCGTTCTATGGGAGATTCGCTAACCAGTGCTAAAAGAAGGGCTATAGAGGAGACAAGGACCAGACTAGTCCCCGGTTGACGCGGGCGATCATGACCAAATGATACGTTTCGCACTGACCGCGTGACGTCAAACCTCACTCAGTTACCGTAACGGCGACTTCGTGTCGGGAAAACCGGGCGGAGACACCCATACATGCATGTACAGACACACAGGTGCTGCCTACCTGCGACTGCTTCGCTAGCGACGGCGCGATGACGTTATCAACGGTGGCCCACAAGGATAAGGTTTGACCGAAAGAATTCTAGAAGTACTGGCTGAAGACACTGTGGAGCAGTCCTCTAGCTACCTAACGCGCAACCCGTTCTTCATTGTGGAACAAAAACTCTGATCACTTCAAAAGTCACGTGAAAAGTTCATATGAATTGGTCAATGTTCTTAGATCAACGCTAGTGGGAGTGCAGAGTGTGGTTCTGTCAAATTTTCAAGCCTAAGCCTGAACGCGCTCCTGTAATTCCTTACTCAAAAAAACTACTAATAGGAATACTTCAAAAATTGATAGGACCATAACTGTCCACTAGGGTCCCCAAATCAGTACATCTAACATTATGCTGGAATATACCAATCATAGACTTTATTACTCCAGTTCCTTAAAAACGTCAAAAACATTACATCGTTTTGAATGACCCAGAAGACTAGCGAAACTTTGAGACCAATGAACACATGCCGATATGTGTGTTCGGCTCGTAAAACACTCTTATCAACCACTGACCTTTTTCAAACTAACTAAAGAATTTTCTTGGGTTACAGCTACATTCTAGGCTGAACAGATTAAAGGATATGCTGAAGCCGATGGATTCGTAAGGATGAAACATTTTAACAAACTATTAGCTCGTTTGATAAATGTTGGCAAAGAGCAATAACATTATCGAGCAGAAGTGATCAAAACATTTTGCTGTACAACTTGCCTATACCTGCTTTGAGAAATGGTTGATTTGGGAACAAATTCACTTGCTGCTCATGCACCAATGGCGTGTAGGGGAAAATGCTAGTGAAACGGCGCGCAAGATTAATGAAGCTAGGAGCGATAATACGGTTGCAGAAAGGATAGCCAGGAAGTGGTTCGCAAGTTCAAAGCGGAGGGAACAGTTTAGAGAAACAGTCGTGCTCAGACACTTCACAAGAAACTCAACTAATTTTGCGTTTCGTTTCAATAACGCTTTCCCCTACACGCTATTCGTAAATGAGTAGCAAGCGGATTTATTCTCAAGACAGATTCATTTCAAAGCAACTGTAGGCAAATTGTATATCGAAATGTTCGCAAAAAAAAAGGGAATTGGACGATACCAAAATCATGCCGTTTTAATTACTTCTAGTTAATAAATTTGTTGTTCATTGCCTCGTGCCAGAACTTATCGAACGATCTAATAAAAACCTATGTAAATACGAGGAAAAAAAAAAGAGATCCGAAGCAATATCCCTCCGATTTCCTGTCGAATTCCTACTCGAGGATTGCACTGTCTAAAAAAGAATAAATGAATAATCACCCTGAGAAAAAAACGAATAGATCTAATTATGAAGGAAGCCATGAATTAGATCATCATCAAACACTCAATTAGTCTGCATTCGTCATCGCGTGACTTGAAGCATCCATCATTCGTTAGTAGTAATTTCTCTTTTCCGCTCATATCAAAATCGACTCGGGCAGTAAAGGGAACACAAGAGTATCCCTTTCTTAGTTTAAAGTGTTCGTAGAGAAGGGCGAACATATGATCTCAGTAGCCTAGGGGTTTAATGTTAGCACGCGGGGTCGGTATGGGTGAAACAGGAGTGCAACTCCCGCCTGAGGTTCAACGTTTTGCATATCGCTCACCATACTAGGATAAATAGTTATAACATCACAAAACGCCTGTAGGAGTGTAAAAAAAAAGAAATTCTCGTACGTCAGATGGATGTCAGAACTCCAGTAGAGTCCTGTCACTGGTGAATGTTGTTGAATGACTGCTACTTAGAAATCTATGATCCTTCCCATCCTAATCCTGCACATAAATGATTTTTAACAGATTGAAGCGTTGTAGCGTAGAAAGAGCGGTTACAAAACAGTCATCAGTAGCGTAATTGGTTGAACATGCGCCCCCTCTGGAAAGAGTGGAGTGCGGGTTCGAGTCCCGCCTGCCGTCAAAGTTTTGCGCATCCCTCAACACCGTTGTTTAGATTTGTAATTTCATATCCTTTTTTTATACCACACAGTGCGTATTCCAGTACTTTCAGCAATCAATTTGTTGTTCGCCTTCTCCTTGAACATCGTAGAATATTGGTTGAGCGAGTCTCCTTGCAATCTAAAGGATAGCCTGGCTAAGACGATCCATAAGGCGTTGTTGTTGACTGCCGGAAAGAGCTGGGGGGGAGGGGTTAAGTTCGGCTCCACGCGTGCCCCGACGAGCATCACAACCACTCGGCCACGGCGCTCCCGACTATCAACGCAATTTTATACCACCGCAAAAAATAAGGCGATCGAATGAAATGGGTTCTTGGTGATCACTTATATCCCATACCTGTCAGCATAACTACAGGTTTAATGTCAATATCGAGTACCTCGGCCAAACCACTGATCGTTGGTCAGTGAAAGACTGATGCGCTGTAGCGTAGAAAGAGTGGTGACAGAACAGGCGCCAGTAGCGTAATTGATTAAGAACACGTCCCTCGGGAAAAAGTGGGATGCGGGTTCGAGTCCCAGCTGACGTCAAAGTTTGCACATCACTTAGCATCATTGAGAAATTGACAATCATGGGACCAAAACGACGGTGTTTCACTCATAAATTAGCTAACTCAACGACTGATGTGAATCTTACCTTATGAACAAATCCTGGAACCTCTGAAATCCGGCCTCAGTGATAGTAACACTTCTGGATAACGAAGAGAAACGAATGAACATGCCGATTTTCACCCTATACTAACAAAATCACTCTACCAACTCATCAATCTCAAAGCCATGGAACAGCAGGGTATTGATCGATTTGGAAGAGTCAGGAGATTAAAATAGATCATAGAGGAGAAGGTCGTCAGTTTGCAAAATGCAAAATAGTATTGTTAGGACGAAACAGTGAGATCAAAAGATGAGTTAGATTAAGGAAAATTGTAAATTAAGCGATTTCAAACCTTTCCCAGCATATTTCGCCAGATTTTTCAATCCCAGATCATTGTCCTGCGATGACTGTTTCCTAATGTGAATTTTTTGAAATTAACCCTGTCGTCGGCTTTGGGTTAATAGCAAATTAAAATAAAAATTGAATGAAAGAAAAAGAAATAGAGCGGATAGGTCAAATGCGGGGGTGGTGACCACGACGTGAACGGAATGGGAGGGCGACCGTCCCGCTGTCCGTTGTCGAAAACGGCCGGCCGGCCGGCCGGTGGTCGCCCGCCGTCAGTCGGTCCGTTATGGCGCCGTTGCATCTCGTCCGTCACCGATCGATACTGGCCGACGACCATGTCGTGATGGTTCGTTATCATCGTCACCGCATTCTCTATGCCTCTCAACCCCTCCATACTTTGTGATCTACACGATCGATGGCCATGGCCTACCATCTGATCACTCTGGTGCGTGGGGTGGAGCGTGTAGATCACATGGAAGTGAGCATCGGACTTGTGTTGTGGTGAGCTTCTCGATATGGGAGCTTCTCCCTCCTCCAGAACGGAGATCCCCGACCGTTGGCCAGATCACTTCTTTGATTCATTCTGAGTTCTGAATGCCGATGTTCTTAGAGTTTTAGGGTTGTGCAGAGTTCTGAATCTGTTTTTATCATTACTAGATCGTTCTGTAAATTTTGGTACTCAAGGAAAAAACACCAAATTTATCAACCAGATCTATTTAAAATGCTATCGTTTCGGTGTTGTTTAATAGCTCCTTTTCTGGCGAATATTTTGGTATACAACTTGCCCCTATTTTTCTCAAGATGAAGCTGTCTTGGGATCAAATTCGCTTTCTAGTCATGCATGGATGGCGCGTGAAGCAGCGCGCAGGACTTCCGCGGACCCTCGTTGAACGTGTCAACCAGCGTAAAAACGACTCTGTTTCCTCTGCATCGACTAGTCGCCGACCATACGACTACTTTTCGTTGCAAAACAGCACGCGAATTAGTCCAAAACTTAGCTGCCAGTGTTGCAGCGAAAAGTAGTACTTTAGTGGGCGATCATTCGAGGAGAGGAGATGGAGTCGTTGCCACACTAGTGAACGCTTCCAGCGTGGGTCCGCGGAAGTCTTGCGCGCCGCTTAACTGGCCTTTTCCCCGATGCGCCATCCGTGCATGACTAGCAAGCGAATTTGTTCACAAGATATCTCCATCTCAGTGCAAGTATAGGCAAGTTGTACACCAAAATATTCGCAGGAAAATGCGCAATTGAACGATGTCAAAATCATGAAATTTTAAGTACATCTGATTAACAAATTGGTGTTCAGCGATTTCAGCTTAACTAGGTTTATAGAGCGATATTGCTCAACCGACTAAACCTGTTGAAGGTGGTGGCTGATAGGTACTATAGAGACATTGAAAAATGAGTGGTAGCGAGACGGTGCCTCGGTGGTGTAGTGGTAGCACGCGCTCCTGGTGTGGGTTAAACGCGGGTTCAACTCCCGTCCGAGGTTGAATTCTTGCTCACCACTCAGTTCTCTTAGGTAAATTTGTTGCTCACTGCTTTGATGTCAAATTTTTTATGAGCTGATTTATCTCCGCCTCTGCAAATCACTATTTTCATTTGTATGAGGGTGGATAAGAAGTGTGCTTTTAGAAAAGATTATGATGAGAGAAACTAGCGAAGTGGATTGCTTTGCTGATGTAGATCAACCAGCCGGCAATGTGACTGCCACCGACCACAGTATAGACGATGGTTCGTGATCTATACATGAGTTTTTTTTCCAGTGTTTCCAATAATACCTATTTTATCGGTTGAGTTCCGTGAACCCCTGGTCGTGTTCAATGACTCCGCTTCCTCTGCCTCGATTGGACACCGACTACAGCTACTTTTCGTTGCAGGGCCCGCAGCTAAGTTTGTAATGTATCGAGTGCGGTCTTCGCCGGCCTATTACTGTTGTTTTTGGATGTTCACACCACACTTGCACACGTAACATCAGAAAAAACAGTCACCACGCTGACGCAGACCGCACGCGAATCATTCCAGAACTTAACTATGGGTCTGGCAGGGAAAAGTAGCTGTAGTCGGGATCCGGTTGGAACAGAGAAGGTGGAGCCGCTGGACACGCCCATGGGTCCGCGGAAGTCAACCGGTTAATAGATGATTATAGGCAAAAAATAAAGCTTATAGCTATAGTGACAATAAAGCATGTTAAGGTAGAACTTCGGAGCCGTTTGCCTTGACCCCTCCGGGACGGCGTGTATCTATCTAGATAGACGGGTTTCTCGGGGCTTTTCTCGCTGCGGAATATTTCTCCCCTTATTTCTAGTAAATGTCCGAAAGCTTAAATCTTGGCGATTTCAGTAATGTGTTATGGTTTCTAAGAATCTTCCTTACTGCTTTGTAGCAGCGAGAATTTTCCTTTATCTCACTCTCAATTTGATTTGCTTGTTCGGCTCGGGAGGTACGTGGACAGATTTTTGCTGGGATTTTGAAGTTCATTCAGTAGTCGAAATATCGACTATTCTGAGGCTAGCAGTGGTTACGAAAAGTTTCAAAGAGCTTGTAAGAGCGAAGAAAGATTACGTTTCGTACGCGGAGTTCTCTTCGAATCTGTGAGTTATATCTGCACGAAAATCATATAACCATGTAGAGAAAATTATGGAGTATTAGAATAACACCGAAAAATCCTAAATTTCACACAAAGCGGAGAAAAAACCCTATTTAAATAGGAAATTGCGCGCCGCTTGCGAATTGCGCTGTGCGTCGATCAATTCTCGTCCCGAAAGGGTTAATTGAGACTAAGTTCGACGTGTGATACGATATTAGAGATGCTTTCCCTTTCCTCTGAATCTGTGCTGTCTTATGTATCAGAATACAAATGAAAGATGGGAAAGATCAAATTCTCGGCTTTGTTTCTTTTTTGGCTTTGTTCCTGAGGGAGAGATGCGCGTACATTCGACATCATCAAGGTGATTGCATATCTGACCTTGCAATCACTCGCGGTGGCCCACCGATGTATCAAATCAGTGCTGTTATCCTCCCAGACAGTTCGGATACAGGCTCACCCATCCCAGAAGGTTGGAAAGCTTCGTGAACCTTCAATGCGGGATAGAATCATCAACCGCATGTATGTCTCACGGCACCTCTAACCATTTTACCATCTATGCGCTATCACAAACATAGATACTTAGTGTATTTTTAATGATAAATAGTACTTTTGAGCTTTTGTGAAAATATTTTCAGATGCGGAGATCACTTCAGATACTGACTGGCGATCAGCCAGATTATCGTCCAGTGACGATAACTGTTCAAGGTTTGTTTCCATTTTCAAGGTCATTAGTGATTCAGCAGAAGAAATCTGTTTACAAATCCCGATCTGTGCAACTTATTTCAGTTTCAATGATGCTTTACGTGTGCAACAACTTGAAGAAGAACAAGAACGACTAAATAATTCCTTATTTTCTCTGAGTTCTCATTTTGCTCAAGTTCAGTTTCGATTGAAGCAAATGTTGGAAGCTGAAGGGGAAGACAGAGAGGTCAGTTTTATTCTGTGTACTTATTTTACTTTTCTACAATCTTTGATAAACGCTTTGGGGACCACCGTTAATAGACAGACGGCGTCGCGTCGTCGCTCACGCGGCAGTCCGGACAGGCGGCATCTGCACGTCTATGCGTGACTTTCTGTCTGTCTGTCTACTTTCCCACGAGACGCGACATCGCCGTTGCAGTAGTGGAGTGAGAGTTGACGTCGCGCGGTTCGGTATGAAACGTACCGTGTGGTCTTCAAAGGGTTAAACCTTTTGGATCATTCATGTTATCCTCACTTTGTTTGAGCTTCTGGGTGAAAACGCAATTTTTGTTTTTTTTTCTCAAAGTTTATTGATCATTTGATAGCTTAAATGTCGAGAATATTGGTGGTATACTTTATGAAATCATGGCTTCTTTTACTGCATTGTGATAGTAAAACAGAATTATGTTTCATACTCAAGAATTCTTCGCTGCACATAGCTTTTTTTTCAAAATTCAGTAACCATTCCACGTACAAATCTCAACATTTCCAAGGGTGTATATAGTTTAGGAAAAGAACTTTTTGTAGTGATGTAACACGTAAAATGAAGTTACATGTCACACGCGGGCGCGCCTTTTCTTTTTTCTTTTGGCTATTACGGCGCGCAATGGAGTCCTTTTGAGAAACGAGTACGCCAATGAAATCATCGAAATATGCGCTATTGAATGGTCACTGAAAATCTAGGAAAAAAGCTCTGTCCAGCAAGAAGTTCTTGTATGTGGGATATAATTTTGTTTTTGCTGTTACAGCGCAGTGAAAAAGCCATTTCGATATTCAGATGAACCGTTAAAATTCTCGATATTTAAGCCATCGAATTATTACTAAAACTTTGCAAAAAAGCGAAAAATTTGTTTCTATCAAGGACCTCAATCAGGTGACGTTAACAGAAAAGTACCGACTTTTTCTTTTGCTGAAGATATCTCTGTGTAATGAGAAGAACTACTTATTCAATATTTTGAATGTTGAGGTTTGCAATATTATGAATATCGAATTCATCTTTTTTCAGATTCTTCTCAAGAACTTACAAGATATCGCTTTCAAAGGTTGTGCTGATATGAACGAGTTTAAAGAAACTAAGGAGTGAAGCTGAATTTGGGGAGGTTTTAGAGATACAGAAGCAAAGGTATTGATTTTTGATGGCAAATAAAGACTCACTCTTTCCTGTTTTCTGCTTTTACTTTTTTTATTTACCTATTTGTTTATCTGTCTATTCATTTATTGTTTCTTTTCTGTTGCCTGGCGGGCGACAAATGGAGAAGCGACCCCTATAACGGTAAAAAATTTCATAAGAGTGTTAGTGATTTTAAAGCTCAAATCTTTGGCTACTGCTCTGCGCGCTCTTTTTTGAGAAGACCTTTTTGTAACGCTGTGGCATTCAAAATGGAACAGTTTTTACACCGGCCGCGCGTTTTCACTATCAGTACACTGGAAGCACGAAAACCTTATCGTGTAGGGGAAATCTTGTAGCGTATATGAAACTTTATCTTATTTTCTTTGCTACATTCAAATGAAACGGTATTTTGGGAACACAAGCAAAGCGTTGGAATCTCCGAAACTTAGGCTAATGAATGGTTAGTTATAAGTTGAGAAACGACTCTGTTCTGCGAGAAGTGTGCGTGTGCTAAGCACAAATATTTTTTTTCTCGCTATAAAGTTATAAAAAGACTTTTTTCAGAAAACGGCACCTAGAGCAGTAGCCAGAGACTTAAGCTTTCGATTGATTACTAAAAGTGCAATGAAAAGTCTTTGTTGAGCAAAAGGGATCGTTTCTGCATTTGTCGCCAGATAACAGAAAAGGACCTTTTTGTCTTGCGCGGTCACCGTCATCAGAATTTGCTATGCGTATCATAATACTAGTACTTCTTGAATTCGATTAGTTTCCTCGTATTCGTCCTTCACAACGGTCTTCCAATATCTCACATGTTCCTTCGGTATCTACTTGAGGACCGATCGAGACAAGCCTTCTTCCGTCTCCGTTCCGAGGGATCCGAACTAAGCTGCCACCATGTGAATTGCAGCAGAAGGTTGAGGGACGGGTGTTGAGCCTTTCTTCCTGATGAAGTGAATCATCATTAACCACTCTGCTAAGGCTTTCCTTGATTGACTCCAAGAGATTATTAGGTGGTATGCAAAAAATTCGATATTGGGCGGAAGTTGACCCGCGTTTTATCCGTGCCGAGGGCGCTACCACTACAGCTCCGATGACACCGCACAGCTACCAGTCTTTCTTCGTTGAATGGCGATATGTGCTTACTCGAATAAACCCGTTCAAGTTGGTGTATGACAGCTACGATAGGTTATATCGAAGAAAGAGTGGTGGCAAGAACGGTGGCATCAGTGGTTGTAGTGGTAACGAACGCCACCATTGCGGGTGAAGCGAAGTCTCAACTCCCACTTGATGTCGTCTGTTTTGCATACTATACTCAGTACTCTTAAATACATTCTTATAACATCATGCCTTTGCTAAAAAGCAGTAGAAATAAAGGACCCAAATATATGGCAAGAGAAATTTAGGGAGCGGATTAAAGTAGGACCTTGCTTCTTCCCGCTTTTTGTATAGTATTTGAGTGGATATATTTGAGATTAAGGGATGTTACTCGTCCTTTCTTACACAATGCTGGTCTATTTTCTTCAGAATCGATGACTAACCTTCCGGCGATCGCGGCTTCTCTGTAGCCCTTATATGAGGAAAGGTTAGCGGTTATTGTCACACGCTATGAAAAATTGATTGCTCAGAAAGGTGTGAGACAAACTTTCGAAACTATGGTTTTTCATAGTGCGTGGTAAGACACCGGTGATCTCTCCAATATAAGTTATTAGCCCTTTCGGGACCGTAGACCTTACACCTCTTCTGCATCTCTGTCCCAGGCGTGCCATTGTTAAACACAGCATGAGGGGTAAGGGGGCGAGGGAATAGAGATGCTGAGATGATGGAGAAGGCC